ACCTGTTGGAGCCCGATTAGTCAACTATAAATGGATTTTCAATGTTAAGGAAGGAATTGAAGGAGTGGCGTCAAAGACATACAAGGCAAGATTGGTCGCTAGGGGTTTCACTCAGAAAGAAGGTGTCAAATTCAATGATGTGTTATCTCCTGTTGTGAAGCACATGTCCATTCGAATGTTGCTTGCCATGGTGGCATAGTTTGACCTTGAACTAGAACAGATGGATACGAAGACCGCGTTCTTGTATGGTGATCTATATGAAACAATCCTGATGAGGCAACCTAAAGGGTATGTCGAAAAAGGGGAAGGAAGATTATGTGTGAAAGCTGAAGAGATTCGAAAAGTTCATGGCACGCATAAGTTTCATTAGAAGTTAGTTCGACCATTATGTTTACTTTAGATTTCGACCTAGTAACTCATTTGTTATTTTGTTGCTTTATGTGGATGATATTCTAATAGAAAGAAACAATGTCGAAGATGTAATGAGGATGAAGGTTGAACTCAATAAGGAGTTCGACATGAAGGATCTAGGAGCTGCGTTCAGGATTCTTGGGATTGACATCCGAAGAGATAGAAAGCAGTCAAAGTTAGGCTTATCTTAAGAGGCATACCTACAAAAGATTCTCAAAAAGATTGGTATGTCAAATTCAAAGCCTGTTGTGACTCCAACAAACCCTCAAATCAAGTTGAGTATAGATCAGTGTCCCAGTACTAATGTTGAAAGAGCTTATATGAATAGCATTACATATTCTAATATAGTGGGTTCTTTGATGTATGTTATGGTATATACTAGACCCGACATTGCATATGTAGTAAGTCTTGTAAGCAGATACATGGTGAATCCTAGAAAGGCTCATTGGCAAGCATTGAAGTGGATTCTAAGGTACATAAATGGATCTCTGAACAGAGTCCTAATTTATGGTGGAACCTTGGGTGAAGATAGTAAAGCAGCAATCAAAGGATATGTTGACTCTGATTATGCAGGTTGTATGGATTCCAGAAAATCTATTTCTGGATATGTGTTCACTATGTTTGGAACAACAATTAGTTGGAAAGCAACACTTCATAAGGTTGTTGTCTTATCAACCACTGAAGCAAAATATATCACCCTAACTGAAGCTGTGAAGGAAACATTGTGGCTTGGGTTTTTCAAAGGAGTTTAAACTTCAAGGTTGAGTTATCACTATTAAATGTGATAGTCAAAGTGCAATACACCTGTCAAAGAATTCAGCCTATCATGAGCGAACCAAGTACATCGATGTGAGGTTGAATTTTGTCAGAGGGGTAATCGAGCATGGAGAAATCCAAGTGTTGAAGGCTTCGACATATTATAATGTTGTTGATATGATCACCAAGACATTTCCCAGTTGCAAGGTTTTCCACTGTATGCAGTTGATAAAGCTGCATGAAGAAAGCTAGTTTATTCCTTGATGTTATAGATTTTGTTCCAAGGTGGAGATTTGTGAGATATTGGATCGAACTCTAGTATGATCGAAGGTAGCTTCTTGGTTCAACAGTTCGACATATGTTTAGCATGCACTCGAAGGTCGTTCACATGTTGTTGTCAAAGTAGTGTATTATGTAGTCGAAGTAGGGTCAAGCATGCAGTTGTCGAAAATGCTAGATTTGTTAGCATGACGAATTGGGCTTGTTTGTTATGTCCAATTGTTTAAGTTAGCTTATACCCTAATTTAACTTGTAATGGGTCATTGTTAAAAATCCCATTAGTTTAGTATGTTAGGTTTTATTATTAATAGCATACTAGTCTCTCATCTTAAGTGTGGAAAATCTTAATTAGGGTGAGAGGGTTATTTGTTATTCTTAAGTACTTGTAATTTGATTTAAAGAGAAAGTAAAGAATAGCAGTTATAACCAATCCTCGTTGTTCTTCTTCTTTTATCATATTTTCTACCCTCGTGTGTTTCTTGATCATAAAGAAACAGTTTATAATTTGTTTCCAAGGCATCAGGCTTCACAACAAAAGAAAATATAGGGCTAAGATTTAGGATACATCTTTAAACTTACTCTTAAAGACAATATAATTCTTCTCATATACAATCGAGTTGACTCATAATTCTAACGAGTCGAACTATGTATAGTTAAAGTTCAACTCATTTACTTAACGAACTTAATTTTTTGCTCATATTCAGCTCATTTGGTTCATGAACCTAGTTTAATAATTTTATTGTCGAATCGAATTTCAAATTATATTCGAGTTGGTTCAATTTATTGTCAGCTATATGTGACACGAACTACAATGATGATGTCATACCAACGGTTGAAACTGTTTCGGAGAGTGGAAGGTAAGGAATATGTGTCACTCTCCTTTTCTTCCACCCACTTTCTTCAATGTGAGTATCTTGGTCACAACGATGTCATATTCAACTTATATATAATTCTCAATGACGGGGTCCTCAGAGAACCCCATTTTCTTCTCTTTTTACTCTAGTTTAAGATTTGTCGAACTTTACCATCAAAGTAAGAGTAAAGATGACAATTATACCCATCTCTAGCAGGTACCTGCAAAACGTTAGCCACAAGGGATAGGGTAAAAACCTTCAAACGGGTATGGGTATGGATGCGGGAAATTACCCACTAAAATAAGTAGGTTTGAGCGCGGGTACGAGTACCTTAATTAATACCCACCCTGAGCTATACTCACACAATTTATATTTATATATTTTTATTATTATTACAGCTTATCAATTTTATTAAATACATCACTATTAAATTTGTACACATTTTAGTATAAGTGTTTGTTTATTTATTAACTGAACAATAACATCAATGATTTTCGTAAATATTGTTAAAAACTTAAAATGACATGATAAATTATTATTGATCAATAATTTTTTTATTAGAAATGCGGATAAACGTGTATGAGTATGGGTATTTAGGTATCTAAAGGGTCCGAGTACAAGTACAAACGTTGGTAAGCATGCTGGTATGTATGGACTCGAATACAAACATTTTGTTAAATCTTGGGTATGGAGACGAGTACTATAGTATCATACTCAAACCCTACTCAATGTCATCCCTAAGTAAGAGAGGATGAAAACATTGAAAATTGTTCCCATAACAATACCAATTGATTTGGAAAAGACCTATCTTCTATACAAGATAGAAGATGTTTTGATAAATATTCGTGGGTCTAGAAGCTCTGGTTTGACGGCAGGGGTACATGCAATTCTGAAGCTCAAGTCAGTGACATTTGAAAGTAAAATACATTCAAGATTAGAATAAAGAAATTTCTTAATGCATCCTATATATTAATAAGGCACCACGTGAAAATACAAAAATGCCCCCAGATTCTGGAGGTGCATCTTCAAACGCACCACAAACACACACACCCTAAGTCAATTCTGAGTTATACCCTAAGAGTGTGGGTTTTTTTAGATCTGGAGATGTATCTTAGTGACCTATCCGTAGATGCATCTTCGTAGCATACTGAAATAGAAACAGAAACAAAAGTCGATTTTGAATAAGCAATCTTTCTCAATTATTCTTTGATGTGGAATTTTATTGTCACCGACTTTTAAAAATTTCTCTTGTATCACTTCTCTTTTGGTCAATATAGAGATATTCGATTTACCATCTTTCATGACACCACCATCATCATCATCAAACCTACATCTTTTCCAATGACTGCAAACTTAATCCATTCTTAACGGGCTACCAAGTTTCACCTTCTTTGCTATAAGACAAACACATGGAAGACCATATGTTTTCACAATTGTGCAACCATACTTTATGCTATCGAAGCCTATATTATCAGCTTGTTTTGCTTTGCGAAAAAAATAATTCAAACTTGCTCAAGATATGTTGTCGACCAACTAAGAATAAAGATTGTAGTCTTAAAATTTGTGTTTCAAAATTGTTGCTCCGACCGAATGTTGTTTGTATCTCATTATGCTGGTTCTGGATCATTTGGTTCACAAAGTCCCAATCTTACACAAATTTCTCTTACTACATCCCAACCAATTCTTCAATGTAGCATGAGCAGACTCAACTCGGTTTGTTGTCGTATTCCTAAGGTGTATAACTTGATCGGTCCATGCACGTTTTTTCTGACTAAAAACAAACTCAATGTGATCAACGAGGTTTGAAATGAATGATCTTTAACTGGAATTCCAACTTCTTTTTCTCCTTTTGATGTAATGAAACACAAGAATGCAAATTTGGAATGAAAATGTTTATTGAGAATGGAAGGGTTTTTGGAAAGGGTATGGAGTGAAAAAGAAGTATGGGTCTGTGATAATGCAGGTGAATGTTTTATCAAAATCACATTTCCTTATTTCGGTGATGCGTCTCCGTAAATACCTGACATGCAAAGGTGACAAATATTTCAAAATCTCACCTCAAACCTCTGACGATGCATCTCTTGAATGTCCACTGGACTGCTAAAATAACAATATATGTTGAAAATACTCGAAGATTAATGCATCTTCTGAATAAAATTTTGTTTTACTATGAAGTGGAACTCATTTAGTGCGTCATAAGATGGTGTAAAAATGCGTTCGAAAGATGGATCACTAAAATTTGAGAAAACATTTTAAATTTTTTATAGGATGTTTATTCACCCCTAGGGTGAGATAAAAAATTCCTTAGAATAATGTGTATCTAACAATTTTTTTTTTTATCTAAATCACTTACTTAGCTAGGCCTCTTAGGGCATTTCCAAAACTAAAACAATATGTAATTAAAAACTTTCCTCTCACTTACCCTCTTCTCTTATTTTCTCTATAAAAATTTGAAAACTATTTATAATTTGAACCAGACGAAAATTAATTTTCAACAAATATATACTGTATTAACCAAAACGATATATACTTCCCAACAAATTACCAAAATATAATACAGAAAATCCTATTCCATAGCATGCCTATAAAATCTTGTCCTTTATTCAGATAACAACCCTTCTCTAGAGATGAGAGTAAGCATTGGTTAGAGATTCGTGTAATTAACTTTTACAAATTGCATTTTGTCTTCACTATAGAAAAATGAACAACATCATTTCCACAACATGTTTCTTCCTTCTCCTTCTTCCATTAGCCTCATGCACCAAAAACAACAAACAGGTTTTCATTTTTCTACTACTTCTTCTTCTCTTAATCTCTATTTTCATCCTTTCATGTGAAACTTTTTTTTTTTTTTTACAGATTTACCTTGTTGAATTTGGAGAAAACACTAATGAAGATAGAACACTGCATGAAATAGAGAATACACATCACTCTTATTTGCTTTTGGTGAAAGAAACTGAGGAAGACGCTAAAACTTCACATCTTTATAGCTACAAGCACACTTTCAATGGCTTTGCAGCATTACTTACACCAAATGAAGCCAATAATCTCTCAGGTAATTAATAAAAATAAATTTGATAATTAATTTCTTCAACTTTTTGAAACAATGGAAATTATTAATTAACATGAAACAGGAATGGAAGGAGTGGTGTCTGTGAGAAAAAGTGAGACAAAGATGTACTCATTGCATACCACAAGGTCATGGAAGTTTGTAGGGTTAGATAGGTCATTTGATCCCTTTGAAGAAAAATCCAATGAAACAAATGGAGAATTATTGGCCAAAGGAAAATATGGACAAGATATTATAGTAGGAATGATTGATAATGGTAAGTTATTACATTATTTTCACTCAACTTATAAATAATGTTGTATTAAAAAATCGCATGAATATTCAACAAGTCACGAGTTCGACAGGTATTAGTCTCTGCAGTCATACGGAGAAAATATCAGGTTTGTATTGACAGAGAAAATTTGTATGAAGACAAGTCATGTGTGTTTTTTTCTTCCATATGTATATAGGTGTATGGCCAGACTCAAAGAGCTTCAGTGATGAAGGAATGGGTCCTGTTCCACAAAAATGGAAAGGAGTGTGCCAAAATGGAACTGAATTTGATTCATCTAATTGCAATAGGTGAGTCATATTTTTTTATTTTATAATTTTACCATTGAATTTCTACTACACTTTTTCTTCCATCCATTGATTTTGTAATATTGAGTTAGGTTAAATGTAAGTTGAAGATAAAATAATTTATCTGTGAATATATTAGGTGTGTGTTTAATATTTTGGTGATAGAAATTAATTTTGAGTAAATTGATTTTTTATAATAGATTTTATTTAAAAATTAGTTAAATATAAAATAACTTATATTTTGATATATTTAAGCAAAAGTGGGTTAAATAATAAACTTTGATATATAAAAATCACGTTTAAATTTAAAATTTATAAGTTTTGATTTAAAATTGAGTCAATTGTGGATGTAAAATAAAATCTATTTAAAATCAAACAAATATGTTAAAATCAATTATAGATTTCTAAAATCAATATATGCTATAGGAAAAGTTGTTTGAACAATAAATGTCAATATAAAAATCAATTTTCTAAATAAAACTTCAATTTCTAATTTTATGTTGCAATTAATTATAGAAAAATAATAATTTTGTTTATAAAATTAAACATATTATGGTTAGAAACAAGCTTCCATTTATATTTTTCTTTTATTATTTTTTACTAGTTAGAAACTATGTCTACCCTAAAATGAAGACAAAACAATTGTCTTTTGAAATGAAAGTTATTTCATTGAACTTTGGAACCTTTGAATAGGTTCCTTTCTTAGGTATTAACCAACATAATTAGTAGCTTCTTTTTCTAATTACTATTATATAATTTTGTGAGGAACATTATTGGCTTGAACATTACGAAAGCAAAAGTTCCTTTCATTATCTCTTGCATAGATTATGAACATGTCATATTCATGGTATATAAATATTCATATACTTAGGAAAATGTGTAAAGAACAACATCAATTATATCCTTACTTGGTAAAAAGGCCTTATATTTTAAAGATACTCTTAAAAGTTGCTAGCAATTATATTTTTTAATCGATAAAGTAAAATAAATGTTAAGAACAAGTTAGACAAGGGTTCATAAGAATCCATTGCTTCTTAGAATATTAGAATTTGGGTTATATCCTCCCTTTACAATTTCATATTAATTCAAGAACATTCATACAAAATGCGCGTTTTTTAATTTAATTAGAGATTCAAATTTAAATTTAAATGAGATAATAAATGTGTCTTTCAATTTAACCAGAGATTCAATGTTCAAATTTAGTCATTATTATTATCTTTTTTCAACAACGTTTTATCGTGACCGTTTTTATAGTAACTATTGGTTTTTTAAAACCTTGATCATGGTTATATCTATTATGTGAATTAGACACAATGATAGAGACCAAAGAAAGCATTTTCTGAACCAACTTTCACATTACATGAAGTTAAATTCCTAATAGAATACATCTCTTGAGTTTATTCGTTTAAATAACTTTTGTCCTTTTGACTTGATTGTTTTTGTCTTCTTTTATTCTCTCATCTCGTGAGTCCCTACCCTATATTCTTCTTTTGCTATTCAAGACACAAGAAATTGTCTATTCCATTTTTTAACTTGTTTCTTTTAGGTTCTGTCACTTCCTTTTCTCTCCGCTTTTGTGATACTCCATATCTTATATAGTCTACATAGAGATGATTGAATTGAAGGAAAAGATAATGGTATGGTTCAATTATTGAAGAAATGTACTGAAAATGGTCAACGAATGATAAAATATCCAAAAAATTTGCACGAGAAAGAGAGAGAAAGTTGTAAGATAAAACATTTTTTTGTCAGTGTATATTTGGATTTTAGACTGATGCAAATTATGTTCTTATCTGACAAGTCATGCTTTGCTTCCTCGTGAGGTTATTGGTTGTGTCTTGTGTGTGTTTTATTATACTTTTTGATTAAGTACATATCAAGAAGATTTTTGGTCTAAGTAATATTCTAAACTACGATTTTAAATTGCGGTTGATTGTAATTGTGAATGTTGCCATACCTAATAACATCTTGTATCAATTAATCAATTGAATTATTAAGTGAACAATCAACAATAATTTGTCATCAAGAAAAATTTATCTAACTAATATTTTTTTATGTTGGTGCAGAAAGATAATTGGAGCAAGGTACTACTTGCAAGGTTATGAAAGTATCTATGGTCCTTTAAACGAAACAGACGATTACAAATCAGCTCGCGACAAAGACGGCCACGGAACACACACGTCATCAATAGTAGCAGGGCGAGCGGTTTCAAATGCGTCAGCACTTGGAGGCTTCGCCCGTGGCACAGCCATTGGCGGAGCCCCATTAGCTCGCCTTGCAATATACAAAGCATGTTGGGCGATAAAAGGAAAGCCGAAAAACGAAGGAAACGTTTGCACGAACGTCGATATGCTTAAAGCTATAGACGATGCAATTGAGGATGGTGTTGATGTTATAAGTATATCGATCGGGTTTCCTGAGCCAATTAAATATGATGATGATGTTATTGCTAAGAGTTCTTTACAAGCTGTAAGGAAAAACATTGTTGTTGTTTGTAGTGCTGGAAATGCTGGTCCTGGTCCTCGTAGTTTGTCGAATCCTGCTCCTTGGATTATTACTGTTGGCGCGAGTACCGTTGATCGTTCCTTTGTTGCTCCTATTAAGCTTAGCAATGGCACAATCATTGAGGTAAATTTCAACTTCATTTAAAAAATTGATTAAGAATGTTTGAAACATGTTAATCTTCAATGACATGCGGCCTGCAGGAAACTGCATTAGAAACCGCATCAGACAATTTTATGATATAATGACATTAATGTGTCACACCAATCGCAACCATTATGGTTCGCGCTTATTGTAAATTTCTTGAAACTGAGATCAATTCGAGTTTAAAATGTCTTTTTGAACTTGAATTAACTTTTCTCTTTGTTAATTAATTACAGGGTAGATCAATTACTCCACTCCATAAAGAAAACATCTTCCGTCCATTAGTTCTAGCTAGTGAAGTTGAATATGGAGGCATAACAAGTGCAAATTCTTCAGGGTACATTTTGCTATTACTAATTTTACATCCTATATGTCTGCAAATCTTAGTTCACCTGACAAAAGCCGATATTTTAAATGATTATTTTATGATGCAGGTATTGTCTAGAGAATACTCTTGATCCTATCAAAGTAAAAGGGAAGATAGTTTTGTGTATGAGAGGAATAGGTGGAAGATTGAAAAAAGGGTTGGAAGTTGAAAGAGCTGGTGGTTTTGGTTTCATACTTGGGAACAATAAAGCTTATGCAAATGATTTAGCTTCTGATCTTCATTTCATTCCAGCCACTGCAGTTACCTATGAGGATACCTTAAAGCTTGTTCAATATATTAATTCTACCGTTAATCCAATGGCACAGCTTTTGCCTGGAACAACTGTGTTAGATGCCAAACCAGCACCCTCTATGGCCTTGTTCTCTAGTAGAGGTCCTAATATAATTGACCCTAATATTCTAAAGGTAAATAATTCTATTACCATATTTTATGACCAATGTCAGTCAGTGTCAGTGTCGTGTCTGACTGTGTCAGTAGTTTATCTAACCATTGAATTATTTGTGGAAACTTTCAGCCTGACATAACAGCTCCAGGAGTAGACATATTGGCAGCATGGACAGGTGAAGATGGACCTACAAGAATGAACGATCGCGATAAACGAGTTGTTGAGTACAATATCTTTTCAGGAACATCAATGTCTTGTCCTCATGTTTCTGCTGCATCTGTTCTTCTCAAAGCCATGCACCCTACTTGGAGTCCTGCGGCTATAAGGTCTGCCCTAATGACTTCAGGTAATTTCAATATCAAAATATGCCGATTACGTTTAAATTATTGATTATTTTCAAATAACGACCAATATTAACGTGTCAGTGTCAGTCACGAGTTTCACGAGTTTCTGACTGTCAGTATTTCATAAATTTCAATGCCGATTTTTACTATTCTTGCAGCAAAAACAACAGACAATACAGGAAACACAATAACAGATGAAACAGGAAACCCTACAACACCATTTGCAATGGGTTCTGGTCACTTCAACCCTAAAAAAGCATCAAATCCAGGACTCATTTACGACGCATCCTTCACTGATTACCTTCTTTACCTTTGTAATCTCAAATTAACACAAAACATAAGCATCACATACACCTGTCCAAATCCATTACCTCAACCATTTGATCTCAATTATCCATCAATACAAATCCATAAACTCAATCACACTAAGACTATAACAAGAACAGTGACCAATGTTGGTGGAAGCAAAAGTGTTTACAAGTTTATTTCTAAGGCACCAAAGGAATTTACCATAAAAGCCACTCCAAGTGTTTTGAGATTTACACATGTTGGACAGAAAAGGAATTTTGTCATCACAGTGACTGAAAATAGAGATGAGTTACTAAGTGAAAGTGATTCTGAGAAGTACTTTTTTGGATGGTATAGTTGGACTGACAAATATCATGTTGTGAATAGTCCAGTGGCAGTGTCTTTTCAATAAGAAAACATTGTAGTATTCTTGTACTCACTGGTAATTATTCTGAGAAATTATTGGAGAATTATTTGAGAGGAATGAGAGATAGGATCACAAATAAATAGATAGCATAAAGATTATAGTATTATTTGAGCCCAATTTTTTTTCTTGTCTAGTGATTATTTTCTTCAAGTTTGTACTATGATTCCAGAACCATTGGCTCTAACAAAAGCTGTTAGACTCATTAAGATTCAAACTATGGTTGAAACAAATAGTATATTTAGTGTTTAATAAGTTTCGATAAAAATTATCTTTTTCTTTTTATAAGTTTTGATAAAAATTATCTTAAGTGATGAAATTTGTAGAAGAAAAAAATTGTGTTACAAACTTTTTGAACAAGGGCTTGATTAAGTTACACATAAAATAAATTTGATTATATAATGTTAGGTTGGATGGATTCAAATAAGTTACCTTCATTTGTTAGGCCATACAGTTTATTGTTCAAAATCTAGAGTAGATAGGTCCAGAGAGATATAGGTCTCAAGATTTCGTAATAAAATAAGTTTTAAAAAATTAATTTAATTATGAATATTTTTTATGAGTTTAATTATGAATATATAATATACATAAATATAATATCCATTATTATAAATAAAATTTAGGTATAATTAAACTTGGGGACCTTTAAGATATTTAAATATAATCGATTGGTCTTTTAAGTTTTTTTTCTACAAATTATTTCTTTAAATTACCTAACATGTACACCCTTGTTCTTTTTTAATGATTCCGTTTTAAAAATGATTAAGTGATACTAATATCGCTGATGTGTCATTAACATTACTTACATGAAATGAAATAGTTAACTAAGAATTGTGTCTCCCCAATAACATTGTAACACGTAGCTTTTGGAGAGAGATATATATTAGAAACATCTAAATCTTTACCATTATTCTGTTATTCTTTTTTTCATTTTTCTACCACGGTGACTTCCATGACAACTCTCGGATAATGCAGAAGTTTTTAATCTTCTTCAAATTTGACATGTAATTCCATTATTTCTACAAGCATGAACTATTTATCTCAGTTTGATCATCAAATAAAATCGGTTGTGAATGTCATCAACTAACACCCTAAAGTTTCCTAATATGAGCTATAAGATCTTTTCCATTCTATGTTGGTGTAGATTTTGATGGTAAAAGCATTAAGAAACATTTTTATGACATAAAAAAAAATATATTGGCTCACTTTGATGTGATATTAATTTGTATTATTCTTTTATAATTTGATATGTTTAGTTACCTTCTTTTATAATTTGTTTTATGTTTTATGTATTTAAGGTGCTACCAGAGGAGTTAGATGTATATTTGGCGCACTCTTATAATTTGTTTTATGTATTTAAAGTGCTATCGGAGGAGTTAGACATACTCTGCACACCCAATTTTTGGACCATTGAGTGAAAAAATGGCTAGCAAAATCTTACTTTCATGTATGACAGAGTTCGAATAAAGAATGAAGTTACTGTTAAATGTAATTTATTGTTTTGATTTGATTTGATATGATTAGATTTGATTTTAATATTTTGGGCCTTTTATGTTTTGCGCTAGTGTAAACCTAAAATAGGGTGTCTTGTTTTGTATTCTATATCACAATAGAACAGATTTCACAGTTGCAGTTAACAAGTGAAAGTTCAATAAGAAATCCCACAGTTTGTGGGTAACAATTCTCTCAAAAGATTTCTTCTCTCATTCTTCTCTTTCTTATTTGTTCTTCTTTTCTTTTGATGTTCTTGATAATTACTTGTTATTACCATTACTATCATATTGTGGGTTTGTTCATCAATCTTGAGATCAAGATTGAAGGGAATTCTTCATAGGGTGTGAGGTGAATTTCCAACATCTGGTATCTAGAGCTCCGGTTGAGAGATTCAAGGAAGAAAGATAGTGATGGCGATGAACTATCTGAACGACAACTTTCCGGCGACCCTGCCAATTCTAAAAAAAGACAATTATGAGAATTGGTGCAAGCAGATTAAGGTGATCTTCTGTTATCAAGATCTTTGGGATCTTGTGAAAGATGGAGTAACATCGCTTGGGGAGAACGCAACGGAGGCGGAAAAGGCTGCGCACAAAGAATTGAAGAAGAAGGATTATAAAGCACTCTTTATAATTCATCAGTGTGTCGATCCTGATAACTTTGAAAAGGTTAGTGATGTTGATTCAGCAAAAGAAGCATGAGAGATTCTTGGAAAGTCGTTTGGAGGCGCAGAGAAGGTGAAAGAGGTGAGGTTACAAACTCACAAGAGAACCTATGAGTTGCTTCAGATGGAAGACAACGAAAGCATTACAGATTTCTTCACCAGAGTTACGAAGTTGGTGAATCAAATCAAAGTATGTGGAGAAGCGCTAACGACGAAAGCAGTTGTCTCAAAGATTTTGAGATCGTTGGCTCCAAAATTCGACCACGTGGTAGTTGCCATAGAAGAGTCGAAAAATCTATCAGTGTTGACGAAGGAAGAGCTTCAAGGGACTCTTGAGTCTCATGAACAGAGGATGGCTGAGAGAGCTGCAGGAAAGTCGAAAGATATGGCTTTGTAGGCGCAGTCAGAAAAGGAAAGTAAAGGCAAAGGTAGCTGGAATGGCAACAAAGGAGGAAACCAGTCGAATCAGAAGAAACCTTGGAACCAAGGCAACCAAAGAGGTGGTGCTGCAGGTAAAGGAAGAGGTGGTGGTCGAAAGCCAGACAAAAGCCACATTGAATGTTTCAATTGCCAGAAGTATGGTCATTATGCTAGTGATTGTCCAGAAAGGAAGAGAAATCAAGAAACTGATGCAAAGCTGGCGAAACATGAAGAAGAAGAAATGTTGCTAATGGTCACAACAAAAGATGAAGAAAGATTCCAAGATCAGTGGTACTTGGACTCAGGATGCTCATCACACATGACTGGAAGGAAAGATTGGTTTGTCAACATGAAGCCCTCGTTGAAGAACACAGTGAAGTTTGCAAATGACAACACTCTAGCAGCTGGAGGTGTTGGTGATGTTCTGATTATGAGGAAAGATGGAAAAAGGTCAACAATTTCCAATGTGTTGTACATACCAGGCATGAAGAGTAATTTGCTCAGTATAGGGCAACTTGTCGAAAAGAACTACAAAGTAGTTGTCGAAGACAAGATGATGAGAGTTCTCGATGCAGGTGGTAGATTAATCTTGAAGGCTCCAATGTCTCAGAATAGGACCTTCAAGATTGGACTCAATGTGATGGAGCACAGATGTCTAGCAACTGCAGCCAACAGAGATGAGTGGTTATGGCATTTTCGACTAGGTCATCTTAACTTTAATGACATCAGAGAACTGAAGAGAAGAAATATGGTTTCAGGATTACCAGAAATCGACATTCCAAGTGAAGTCTGTGAGGAGTGTGTTCAGTCGAAACAACACAAGAATAGCTTCAGCAAGGATGCAGGAAGGAAGTCGAAGGCAATACTTGAAGTCATATACTCTGATGTATGTGGTCCAATCCAGGTGGATTCGATTGGTGGCAATAGATACTTTGTCACGTTTATAGATGATTACAGTCGAAAGCTGTGGACTTACCTCATCAAGAAGAAAAGTGATGTGATTGAGGTATTTTCCAGATTCAAGTCCATGGTCGAAAGACAGAGTGGCCGAAAGCTGAAAATTTTGAGGACAGATGGTGGTGGAGAGTATGTGTCAAAAGAGTTCGATACACTATGTGTAAAAGAAGGGATTGTGCATGAGGTGGTGCCACCTTACACTCCACAACAAAATGGGATTGCAGAACGCAAGAACAGAACCATCATGAATATGGTGAGAAGTATGTTGAATGGAAAGCATATACCTAAAGAATTATGGGGAGAAGCCGTTTCGACAGCAACATATATATTGAACAGATGTCCGACGAAGAAGCTTGAAGGAATCACACCAGAAGAATGTTGGTCTGGTGTCAAGCCTAGTCTCAGTGACTTGAAGGTATTTGGATCTATAGCACATAGACATGTGCCAGATCAGTTGAGAAGGAAGCTTGATGATAAGTCGAATCAGATGATCTTGATAGGGTATCATTCGACAGGAGGTTACAAGCTGTTCGACCCAGTGAATAAGCAGGTGGTGATCAGCAGGGACGTGATCATAGATGAGCTTAAAGAATGGGATTGGACTGAGAATGCCAAGAAGGATTCAGTGAGAATCTCTTGTGAAGAACCAGCCACTGAAGTCGAAATAGAAGCTCGACAGGAACCAGTTGCAGATGAAGCAGGTTCAAGCAGACCTCGACGAACAAGACACATGCCTGCAAGGTTGCAAGAATGTGTAATTACATCAGATGATGTAGTCGATGAAGAGGGTGAGCTGGTACATTATGCTTTCTACGCAGATGTCGAACCAGTCAATGCAGCTGAGGCATTGAAAGATTCGAAGTGGATGAAAGCAATGATTGAAGAGTTGGAGTCCATCGAAGTCAATGATACCTGGTCACTTGTTGAATTACCGCAAGGCAAGAAGGCAATTGATGTGAAGTGGGTTTACAAGGTGAAGGTAAATCCTAAAGGAGAAGTAACTCGACACAAGGCGAGACTTGTGGCGAAAGGATTTCTTCAGAAGGAAGGAATCGACTTCGATGAAGTATTCGCACCTGTTGCTAGAATCGAAACAATCAGGTTGGTTGTTGGTCTAGCAAATATGAACAACTGGCACACATGTCAGATGGACGTGAAGTGTGCATTCCTTAATGGACCCTTAGACGAAGAAGTTTATGTTGCACAACCAGCTGGGTTTGTGAAACTAGGCGAAGAAAGAAAGGTGTACAGGCTTCATAAAGCCCTGTATGGACTTAAGCAAGCTCCAAGAGCTTGGAATAAGAAAATCGTCAGCTTCTTAAGGGAGAAGGAATTTGTGAAGTGTACAACTGAGCATGGAGTATATGTAAGAAGAAGCAATGGCGGATTGCTTATACTATGTCTCTATGTTGATGATTTGTTGATTACAGGGAGTTGCAAGAAGGAGATCGAA